AGTTTGGGGGCACTGGGTGGGAATTCAGGGGGTTTCAGGGCCCTCCGGGGGCTGCGCGGCCGTTTGGGGCCAATCGAGCCGGTTTTGGGGGCGATATCGGCTATTTGGGGCACTCCAGGGAGCGCTCAGAGCCGGGGGGGGGAAGGGAGGGGAATTTGGGGCCTTTTGGGGTGATTTGGAGGTTCCCCCTCCCCCCGTCACCGGGGTCACATCAGGGCAGCGTCCGGGTGGATCCGTCCGCGGAGCCGCTGGAAACGTTGGATTTTGTTGGGAAACCCGAGGGGTGACATGAGGACAACCGGCACCGGAGCCGGGAACAGCGGGAAAGGGAGTGGGACGGGAATTCCTTGGGAGTGGAGGAGGAGGAAAAGGGTTTGGGGGTCGAATCGAGAGCCCCGGAGGAGATTCCCGGCTGGAGAGCCCATCCCGGCGGGAAAAAGCACCGTTCGGAGCAGCTTCCGGAGCCCCGAACGCTTTAATTCCCCGGAACGCCGCCGGCCCCGGCGATCCCGCACCCAAGCAGAGGATCATCCCATTGCCCGTCACGACTCCTGCAAAAATTCCTGGAAAAATTCCCCCAAAATCCAAAAAAAAAATCCTTCAAAAATCCCCTTTGACTCGCRCCATGGGGATGAGGTGACCCGGAGGGATCCGCTTTTCCGCGCGCATCCGGATCCCGACCCGTTTGCCGAGTCCCTGATGTGGGAAGTTCTTCAAAATACAACAATTTGGGGARACTGCCTCGAAACGTTGGTTCATTTTTATTACCTCGCCGCTTCCCTGGAAAACAAACSGCGGAGCTGCCGGATGCATCCGCAYGTTCCCACCGTGGAGTTTGGGGCCTCCCTGTTGGATCCTGCATGGGAAAGGAAAAGGATCCCGGTCGTTCCCGGGGGTTTCAGTTCCAAGCTCCTCGTGCAGAACCCGGGCGGGAATTCCGCTTCCAGATGGATTTTCCCGCTTTGGGGATGAGCAGGAAGCAAGAGGCGCTGCCGGATTCCCCCGCTTTGCGCCGTTATCCCCTCGGAAGACGCAGAATTCCCAAGTTACCCACCAGGATTTGGGCAACACTCATTCCGGATGGGAAATAAATACCCAGATCTCTTGAATCCATCTTTTTTTTTTTTTTTTTGAATCCATGCTTTTTTGCACCAGGAAAATCCTCCTGTCCCCCTGGGATCTGTGCCTGCTCCAAGGTTTTCCCACCCTCCAGAGTGCTTTTTCCTGCCCGTTTTCCCCCCAAATTTGTGCCTCCCGCTTCCTCTGCTTCCAATAAAACCCTCTCACGGCATCGCCCCGGGCGCCCTTTATCCGCCGCCGTTTTTCCCGGGATTTGAGCTCCGAAAGCTCCCGAGCGGCGACCGGGGTGGCCGGGGCGGCTCCGGCGTCGCCGCCGTCATTCCCGAATTCCTCTCGTTGCAGAGAAAATCCAGCAAAGCCAAGGAAAAGAAGCAGAAGCGCCTGGAAGAGCGGGCGGCCATGGACGCCGTGTGCGCCAAGGTGGATGCGGCCAACAAAGTGAGCGTTATCCCGGGAATGCCGGCTGGGAAGGGTGGCAGCCGGGGGTGGGCGCGAAGCCGGCGCTCCGGGCTCTCCCTGCGCCGTTTTTCCCAGCCGCTTTTCCCCCTTTTCCGCGTTTTTTCCCTGTTGGATTCYACGGCTTCTCTCCCTTTCCCGCCGCAGCTCGAGGATCCCTTGGAAGCGTTTCCCGTTTTCAAGCGCTACGACCGCAACGGGTGAGGAGCGGGATGCGCCGCCGCTCCGGAACGCTCCGTCCCCCCGCATTCCCGCTGAGAATTCCCGCTTTTCCGCAGCCTCAGCGTCTCCATCGAGTGCACGCGGGGCTCGCGCCTGGACCGCGCAACAGTCGACTGGGCCTTCGAGCTGACCAAAGCCAACATGCAAACGCTGTAGGTGCCGCCAACACCGTCCCGCGCGGCGTCCCCTTCCCGGGAAACCCTCGGGAATCGCCCTTCCCGCCCCGCACGCGCCCGGAGCGGCGGCAAACGAGACGCCCGCACCCCTTTTCCCAGCTCGTTCCCAACTAAACGGAAAAACTCCCGGTTTTTCCGCGCCGGGATGAGCGCCTGTTGCTTTCACGGAGCAGGTACGAGCAGAGCGAGTGGGGCTGGAAGGACCGGGAAAAGCGGGAAGAGCTGACGGACGACCGGGCCTGGTACCTGCTGGCCCGGGACGCCGCGGCCGGGCCCGTCGCCTTCTCCCACTTCCGCTTCGACGTCGAGTGCGGCGACGAGGTTCTCTACTGGTGGGTCAAAACGCCGCCTTTTCGCCCCAAAACGGGGCCCGCTGTTTCCGCCCTATGATATGGGATCTGGACGCTCGTTTTTCCTGCAAAAATGGCCGGATCCGGTTGCTTCCCCCCAAAACGGGCCTGGATCCAACCTCTTTCTTCCCAGAAAACGAGGCCAGATCCATCCCCTTTTTCCCCMAAAAAACAGGGCCGATCCGGCTGCTTTTTCCCCTAAAACCATTCCTGTTTTTCCCCTTTTTTCCCGCTTTTCCCCCAGCTACGAGGTGCAGCTGGAGAGCAGAGTGCGGCGGAAAGGCCTGGGCAAATTCCTGCTCCAGATCCTGCAGCTCGTGGCCAACAGGTACCGGCCTCGTTAGGCATCTCATTAAGCCCCTCGTTAGGTGCCTCATTAGGCCCAGTCACCTCATTGGGCTCCATGGCGGGCTCTTCATTGGGCTCTTCCGTTGGGCGTCTTGTTGGGTTCCACACGTTGGGCTCCTCGTTAGGCTCCTCGGTGCCTCATTAGAGGTTCGTTAGGCGCTGATGACTCTTAATTAGGCTCCCCAGCCCAGGYGCTTCCTTAGACRCCCCATTGGCYTCRTGGCCCTTCCATTGGGTGCCAACATTGGCCCTTCTACTTCGCATCTTGTTGGGTTCCACACRTTGGGCTCCTCATTAGGCTCCTKGGTGCCTCATTAGAGGTTCGTTAGGCGCTGATGACTCTTAATTAGGCTCCCCAGCCCAGGCGCTTCATTAGGCGCCTCATTGGCCTCATGGCCCTTCCATTGGGTGCCAACATTGGCCCTTCCATTGGGCGTCTTGTTGGGTTCCACACGTTGGGCTCCTCGTTAGGCTCCTTGGTGCCTCATTAGAGGTTCGTTAGGCGCTGATGACTCTTAATTAGGCTCCCCAACCCAGGTGCTTCATTAGGCGCCTCATTGGCCTCATGGCCCTTCCATTGGGTGCCACCATTGGCCCCTTCCATTGGGCGCCTCATTGGTCCCACACCCCGGGCTCCTCGTTAGGCTCCCCGGCGCTTCTTTAGGTGCCTCGTTAGGCCCCGTAGACCCCTCATTAAGCGCCTCGTTAGCGCTAACGAGCCTGTCGCGCGCGCAGCACGCAGATGAAGAAGGTCATGCTCACGGTGTTCAAGCACAACCACGGCGCCTACCACTTCTTCAGGGACGCGCTGCAGTAGGTGACACCGCGACGCGACGGGGGGGTTCCGGACCCCTCCCGGGGGGGCGGTTGTCACCCGCGTCCGGGTGTATCCCGTTCCCCGCCGGCAGGTTCGACGTGGACGATTCGTCACCCGGCGCGGGCGGCTGTTGCGGCGACGACTGTTGCTACGAGATCCTGAGCCGCCGGACGCGCTACGGCGAGAGCCGGCCCGGCCCCCCCGGCGGCCGCTGCGGGGGCTGCTGCCACTGAGGGCCTTCGGCCTCACCCTCCTCCTCCTCGGGGCCTCGGCCTCCTCCTCATCTTCCTCCTCGTCGTCTTCATCCTTCTTTCTCCTCCTCCTCCTCCTCATCTTCCTCCTTGTCTTCATCCTCCTCATCCTCTTGGTCTTGACCTCCTCCTCATCTTCATCCTTCCTCCTCCTCTTCCTCTGGGCGCCGTCGCTACCGCCCCCCACACTTTTGCCAGGATTTTACCGGCAAAAACAACTTCTTTCTCCCTTCCCCCGGGTTTTGGGGGGTTTATTTTACTTTTAATTATTTTTTTTTGGCCATTTCTGCCCCTTTTTTATGGGGGGGCTTCGGATCGAAGGGCCCCCGTCCCCCCCGTTTCCCTCCCCCCCCTTTTTTTGCATCGTTTCCTTTGTACGTTGCCAATAAAGACACTTTTGTCGAGGCCTTGGGTCCACGTGGGGGAGGGGCAGGACGCCGGGGCCCCATCCATTTGGGGGGGGGTGTGTACAGGGGACACGTGACAATGGGGGGGCATAAATGGTGAAAGGGCGGGGCCAAAACAGAAGGGGCGGGGCTTAAACGGGCAGCTAGAAAAGGAATCCCTCGCTGGGGGCGGGGCCAGTGGAGAAGGGGGCGTGTCCAAACCTGGGCGCGTCTGAGAAGGGGCGGGGTCCGTAGAGGTGGGCGGGGCCACGATTCCCGCTCACAAGGACCGAGGGGCGTGGCCTAGGCGCCCGCGGGGGCGGTGGCCGAGGGGGCGTGGTCAGGAGCCGTGAGTGACATGGCGCAGGGGGCGTGGCCAGATCACGAGCGGGGCGCGACCGAGCGAGAGGATTGGGCGGCGCTGAGCGCGGTGCCCCCTCCCTCCCCGCTGGCGGAAGTGACGCCCGCGCCGCTTCCGTCGCCGCCGCCGCCGCCATGCTGCCCGCCGCCCGGCTGCTCCGCGCCGCGCTGCTCCCCGGCCCCGCCCGCCGCGGCCTCGTGTCGGGGCCGCCGCAGGAGCCGCTGGGGACCCCGGTGAGACCGGGGAGGGGGGGGAACCGGGACCGGGCGGTACCGGAGCCGGGACCGGTGACCTTGAGCGGCCGCCCCTCCGCAGGAGACCGTCGTGGGCTTCGCCGCCATGTTCCTGAGCTGCCTGGGCCCGGCCGCCTGGGTGCTGGGGCACCTGGAGGACTACAAGAAACGGGAGTGACGGCGCCGGCCACCGGGATCTGCGGGAGCCTCTGCGGGATCCTGCGCCGGGACCAGCGGGAATTCCCCCCCGGGGCCCCGCCCGYAGCGCCGGGCCCCCGCCGCGCCGCCCCTCCCCCAAATAAAGGCCGCTCGCGGCTCTTCCTGCTTCCGCCTGGCTCTGCCCGGCACCGGGACCGCTCCGGGGCGGGCGGCCGGGGACACGCGTGTCACCCGTCCGTGCCTCGAGGTCACCGGGTGACGTCACAGCCCGGGAAAAGTCATCTTGAGGGTGGTTGCTATGGTGAGGGGAGGGGCGAACTGTTGCTGGGTAACCCGAGTGGTTGTTGGAGGTGTTGCTGGGCGGTGGAGGCTGTTGCCAGGCGACCGGGGCGGTGGTGGGGTGGTGACTAGGGGTGGGGGGTGTTGCTAGGTGACCAGGGCGGTTGCTAGGAGTGGTTACTAGGCAGTGGGGGCTGTTGCTAGGTGACCAGGGCGGTTGCTAGGAGTGGTTACTAGGGGTGGGGGCTGTTGCTAGGTGACCAGGGCCGTTGCTAGGGGATGTGGGGTTGCTAGGGAGCTCCAGGGCCGGGTGGAGGTAGCCAGGGGCGGGGCCGGTTGTCAGGGGGCGGGGCCGTTTTTAGGGGTCAGGGCCTATCGCGCGCGGCCGCTGCAGGGCGGGGCCGGTTGCCAGGGGGCGGGGGCCGGTCGCCAGRGGGCGGGGCCGCTCGCAGCCGGTTGCTAAGGCGGGCCCGGTCGCCCAGAGGAGGTTGCTAGGGGCCGGGAGCGCTTCCGGCGGGGCGGGCGTCGACCCGGAAGCGCTGCGGAAGGTGCGGGGCTGCGGCAGCAAGATGGCGGCGGAGGAGCCTCAGCAGAAGCCGGAGCCGCTGGGGGGGGACGCGGACGGTAACGGAGCCGACGGGGGGGAGGGTAAAATGGGGGGAGGGGCAGCAAGCGGCCGCGCCCCCCACCTTCTTTCGGGACCGGGCCCGGGGTCCCTCCCCCGCGGAGGATCCCCCTAATGGGGCCTCGTTGTCGCCCAGAGTCGCCCTCGGGGACTCCCCCCCCCGCGCCCCCCTGGAGCCCCCGGTGCCCCCTGGAGCCGCCGGCAGTCCCGGACACCGTCCCCGTTGGTCCCCCCGTGTTGGGGGTCCCGTGTCCCCCAAAAGCCCTGACGCCCCCTTTGTGACCCCCT